CCAAATACACGGACGCGTCAGCCTGCGTCACGGGCATACCTGGAGATTTACGAACAAAAGTCGGTTACTCGTTCACCCACCCACCCACTCGGTTACTCGTTCACCCACCCACCCACCCAGCCACTCGTTCACCCACCCACCCACCCAGCCACTCGTTCACCCACCCACCCACCCAGCCACTCGTTCACCCACCCACCCACCCAGCCACTCGTTCACCCACCCAGCCACCCGTTCACCCACCCACCTACCCAGCCAGCCACTCGTTCACCCACCCACCTACCCAGCCAGCCACTCGTTCACCCACCCACCTACCCAGCCAGCCACTCGTTCACCCACCCAGCCACTCGTTCACCCACCCACCCAGCCACTCGTTCACCCACCCACCCAGCCACTCGTTCACTCCACCCACCCAGCCACTCGTTCACCCACCCACCTACCCAGACCAGTCACTCGTCCACCCACCCACCCAGCCAGTCACTCGTTCACCCAGCCAAGCCACTCGTTCAAACCACCCACCCAGCCAGTCACTCGTTCACCCACCCACCCAGCCAGCCACTCGCTCACGCACCCAGCCAGCCATTCGCCTCACCCACCACTCGCTCACCAACCCCACCCACCCACTCGTTCACCCACCCACCCAGCCAGCCACTCGCTCACCCACCCACCCACTCGCTCACCCACCCACCCAGCCAGCCACTCGTTCACCCACCCAGCCAGCCAGCCGGCCACTCGTTCACCCACTCGTTCACCCACCTACCCAGCCAGCCAGCCACTCGTTCACCCACCCACCCAGCCGGCCACTCGAAAGGAAAATTAAATTAAATAGGCGACGTTTCGGGCAATGGCCCTTCTTTATTAGGACGAAGGACCATCTCCCGAAACGTCGTTCATCATATACAGCGTTGTCAGTGACAAACGGGGTTGCGTGTTATGGTTTTCGCACCACTAATAAATAGCGCGGCACCTACAAACATTTTGGTTTAATTCCTAAAATAAGTATAACCAGTAAAAACAAAGTTTTTCACTATAAATCCTTTATATGCGTGGCGGCTAGAGTCCCCTCGTCCTCTGGCTTGAGATGGCTGCCACCTATTGGTCAGATGATTGCCTGCCACCATTAAGCAATTGGTAAATAAATATAAAAACAAATTCCCAAAAAAGTGTAAAATTTTGAAAAAATAAATTCACGAAAATAAATTGTCACGCACAACGAGTCTGTGTGGAAAATGTCAGCTCGATTGGATCACGGGAAGTGGGTTAAAAAACGACCGAAATATTTGCACGGTCCTTAACAAGCAAGCGAACTTAATAAAGGATTTAAAAATTAAAATAAAAAGGGGGGGGGGGGGTTGTAATAGCTGCACGCTAATGAGGATCGTCCTGGCCAGGGAGATGGAGCGATGGATTGGGATCAGCTCGTGCACAGGAGGCCCGGGGTGGCTCGTTGCATCGAAAGACTGCGCGCGCGAGAGCGAGAGAGAGCGAGAGTGGTTTTACTGGTAGGAACGAAGTGGACCAGCCTACAATAGATTATTTCATCCGTCCGTCCGACCGTCCGACCGTCCGTCCGTCCGTCCAGCAACATCGCCCCCTACTGCAAACACTTGGCAGGACCCTACAAAAACCTTTAGACTCAGTAGGGCTTTCCTGGCTAAACAAATGTAATAATACATTATGTTTATATTCTTTGGTTATTCGTTCCAACCAGCCCACCCCGCAGGGTCCTGTTCATCCAGCAGTGGACTAAGACTGGCCTGCAGTGGCAGCAGAGGGCACTTACTCAGATGAACTCGAGTGGCGTTGGCTTCGACGGAAGAAGAAGATGAAGAATCGTGTGGGCTCAGCACCGTCACCAGCATCATCATCAGCCTCATCATCCGCAGCAAGCCAAGCGCGTTCATATTCAACAAATTCAACCACGAACCCAAACCCGTGGGGGGGGGGGGTCACAAAATCGTAATTCTCGCTTCGACCTTCACCGCTCCTCAATCTCCACGCTGCCGATCCAGAATCTCCGGCTCCACCCTCCCACGTGTCTCCTCCCCTCCTCCTACCCCCTATTTAACACGTCGCTCTGCGCGGGCACGCAGGTGGACAGGTGAGAGTCACCCTCGCGTGATGAGACACTAATTACCACGAGCCCTCATTGTCTATTAACTCCCCATCCCCCCCCCCTCCCCCCCGCCCCTCCCACCACTCACACCTCCCCCCCTCCCACCCCGCCCCCCCCCGCCTCCTCCCCCCCTCCGCCTCGCCCCCCGCCTCCTCCCCCCCCCGCCTCCTCCCCCCCCCGCCTCCCCCCCCGCCTCCCCCCTCCAACTCCCCCTCCCACCCCCCCTCCCACCCTCCCCTCCCACCCCCCGCCCATCCCCCCCCTCCCACCACCCCTCCCCCCCCTCCCCCCCCTCCCACCCCCCCCGCCTCCTCCCCCCCCGCCTCCCCCGCCCATCCCCCCCCTCCACCCCCCCCTCCCACCCCCCCCTCCCACCCCCCCTCCCACCCCGCCCCTCCCACCCCCCTCCTTCCAACCAACCACCCATCCCTTATCAATTCCACAAGGAGGAAACAATCAAACAATCAATGACCTCGCGATCATTGATTTACTTACACACACACACGCGCGCGCACGTGGTGGTGAACGGAGGTGGGAAGACGGTGCCTCTCGCATCGTTTCAATTTGCCAATTAACTGGCGAATCGATCGATTCGTGATCGATTCGTCGCTTAATTGGCACCACCCACAACACGCCCGCGCGCGAGGTGCGATGAACATCTCACGGAAGACGGGCAAGGCCGTAGCCGTGGAGTCAACATTGGGGGGGAGCAAATCTTCCAGGGGGTCCCCCCCCCCAGAAAAAAAATCAAAATTTGATAACGAATTTTCTGCCTAAAATATTTTTTAAAATTCACTAACACATGGGATGGACTTTTTATTTATTTTTTACTATAATGTATAATAGTGTTATTGTATTGCATTGCTCTGTTTTATTTTTTTACCTTTTCTTGTTTCATTCTATGTAATGGCAGAGATTCGGGATTCGTAAAGTACAATCGTAACCACAATCATATAAACAGAAATCTATTTCGTAGTATATTGGGGGGGGGGGGGGACATTTTGAGCATATTTGAATATTGGAGGGGGTGGGGACACATATTATAATTACTATAATTATATTATAATACGGTAGGAATCTCCTGGATCCGCGCCTCTGTGTGTCTCTCTGTCTGATCGTGTCTGTCTGATCTGTATATCCCCCCCTCCGTATCTCCCCGTGTCTCTGTGCGTCTGTGTGTCTGTGCGTGTCCATTTAATTCATATCCCCGTGTCTCTGTGTGTCTCTGTATGTCTGTGCGTGTCTCTCTGTGTCTCTGTGTGTCTGTGCGTGTCACTCTGTGTCTCTGTATATCGCTGCGTGTCTATCTGTGTCTGTGTGTGTCTGTGCGTGTCTCTCTGTGTCTCTCTGTGTCTCTGTGTGTCTGTGCGTGTCTCTCTGTGTCTCTGTGTGTCTGTGCGTGTCTCTCTGTGTCTCTGTGTGTCTGTGCGTGTCTATCTAATCCATATCCCTGAGTCTCTCTGTATTTCTCTCCGTGTCTTTCTGTCCCCGTGTCTCTCTGTCCAAGTGTCAATGTGTCTGCGCGTGTCTATCTGATCCCTGCCTCCGTGTCTCTATAATCTGTATATCTCCCTGTGTCTATCTGCATCAGTGTCACTGTGTCTGTGCGTGTCTCTGTGTGTCTGCGCGTGTCTCTGTGTCTATCTGATCCCTGCCTCCGTGTCTCTATAATCTGTATATCTCCCTGTGTCTATCTGCATCAGTGTCACTGTGTCTGTGCGTGTCTCTGTGTGTCTGCGCGTGTCTCTGTGTCTATCTGATCCCTGCCTCCGTGTCTCTATAATCTGTATATCTCCCTGTGTCTATCTGCATCAGTGTCACTGTGTCTGTGCGTGTCTCTGTGTGTCTGCGCGTGTCTCTGTGTCTATCTGATCCCTGCCTCCGTGTCTCTATAATCTGTATATCTCCCTGTGTCTATCTGCATCAGTGTCACTGTGTCTGTGCGTGTCTCTGTGTGTCTGTGCGTGTCTCTATAATCTGTATATCTCCCTGTGTCTCTGTGTGTCTGTGCGTGTCTCTGTGTGTCTCTGTGCATGTCCATCTGATCCCTATACCCCTGTCCCTCTGTATCCGTGTCTCTCTGTGTCTCTGTGTGTATGTGCGTGTCTCTGTGTGTCTCTGTGTGTCTGTGCGTGTCTCTGTGTGTCTCTGTGTGTCTGTGCGTGTCTCTGTGTGTCTGTGCGTCTCTCTGTCTCTGTGTGTCTGTGCGTGTCTCTGTGTGTCTCTATGTGTCTGTGCGTGTCTGTGCGTGTCTGTGTGTCTGTGCGTGTATATCTGTGTCTCTCTGTGTCTCTCTGGCTCTGTGTGTCTGTGTGTGTCTCTCTGTGTCTCTGTGTGTCTGTGCGTGTCTATCTGTGTCTCTCTGGCTGTGTGTCTGTGCGTGTCTCTGTGTGTCTGTGTGTGTCTCTCTGTGTCTGTGTCTCTCTGTGTGTCTGTGCGTGTCTCTGTGTGTCTCTGTGTGTCTCTCTGTGTCTCTCTGTCTCTCTGTCTCTGTGTGTCTCTGTATGTCTCTGTGTGTCTCTCTGTGTATCTCTATGTCTCTGTGTGTCTCTGTGTCTGCCTGTGTCTCTGTGTCTCTGTATGTCTGTATCTGTGCGTGTCTCCATCGGTATCTCACCACCAGAGACACGTGGGGGGTGGGGAGGGGGGAAATCCCCGCGTCACTGAGACCCCCCCGCCCCCCGCCCCCCACACCCCCCACCCCCACGCCCCACCCCCCCGCCCCCCACCCCCCACGCCCCCCACCTCCATGCCCCCTCGCCCCCACCCCCCACGCCCCCCGCCCCCCCGCCCCCCGCCCCCCACCCCCACGCCCCCTCGCCCCCACCCCCCGCCCCCCACCCCCGCGCCCCCACGCGTCACTGTCGAGAACTCGGGTGACGTCACCCGTCACTCCCTCGCGCTCGCTCGGCAGTGTTGTTGAGTGTGGTGAGTGTTGGTGAGTGAGTGTGGTGAGTGTGGTGAGTGTTGGTGAGCGTTGGTGAGTGTTGGTGAGTGAGTGTTTGTGAGTGTGGTGATCGTGGTGAGCGTTGTAAGGGTGGGTGAGCGGTGTGTGTGTGTGTTGTGTGTGTGTGCTGTGTGAGTGTGCTGTGTGAGTGCTCTGTGTGTGTGTGGTGTGTGTGTTCGGTGTGTGTGTGCTGTGTGTGTGTTCTGTGTGTGTGTGCTGTGTGTGCTGTGTGTGTGTGTGGTGTGTGTGTGTGCTGTGTGTGTGGTGTGTGTGTGCTGTGTGTGTGTGTGCTATACGCTGAACTTTTTTCGCACCGTACGTAGCCAAACGTGCTAATCGGAGGTGCAGTGTTGAGTCTATGGGTAGTGTTGAGTCTATGGGTAGTGTTGAGTCTATGGGTAGTGTTGAGTCTATGGGTTAGTGTTGAGTCTATGGGTTAGTGTTGAGTCTATGGGGCAGTGTTGAGTCTATGGGTAGTGTTGAGTCTATGGGTAGTGTTGAGTCTATGTGTAGTGTTGAGTCTATGGGTTAGTGTTGAGTCTATGGGGCAGTGTTGAGTCTATGGGCAGTGTTGAGTCTATGGGCAGTGTTGAGTCTATGGGGCAGTGTTGAGTCTATGGGGCAGTGTTGAGTCTATGGGCAGTGTTGAGTCTATGGGTAGTGTTGAGTCTATGGGCAGTGTTGAGTCTATGGGCAGTGTTGAGTCTATGGGCAGTGTTGAGTCTATGAGCAGTGTTGAGTCTATGTGCAGTGTTGAGTCTATGGGTTAGTGTTGAGTCTATGGGTAGTGTTGAGTCTATGGGCAGTGTTGAGTCTATGGGCAGTGTTGAGTCTATGAGCAGTGTTGAGTCTATGTGCAGTGTTGAGTCTATGGGTTAGTGTTGAGTCTATGTGCAGTGTTGAGTCTACGGGTAGTGTTGAGTCTATGGGGCAGTGTTGAGTCTATGGGCAGTTTTGAGTCTATGGGCAGTGTGTATGCTGGACTTCTTTCGCACCGTACGTTAGTGAGTGAGTGAGTGGGCCGAGGGCTTAATTGCCTACACGGCCGTCACCTCACCCATGAATCTCCCGCTCCGGCTTCTCATCCTCCTCTTGTCCACCACCACCTCCTCCTCCATCTCCTGCACAACCTCCACCACCTCCACCAACGCCTGCAACATCACCTCGTCCACCAACGGTCGAGGTGAGAATCTCAGCACGTGTTCATCTCTTCACTCACCTGTTCACTCACCTGTTCACTCACCTGTTCACTCACAAAGGCTCATTCCTAACAGCGTGCTTCAGCCGCACCGAACCTCACAAAAAATTAACCCGTAAAAACAAAGTTTTTCACTATAAATCCTTTATGTGCGTGTTCAATGGGCCACAACCCAGCCCACATTGGTCTTTGAAACGGGCGGCTAGAGTCCTCTCGTCCTCTGGCTTGAGATGGCTGCCACCTATGGGTCAGATGATTGCCTGCCACCATTAAGCAATTTGTAATTAAATATAATTTATTTTCCCCTAAAAAGTGTAAAATTTTGGGAAAAAATTTTCACGAAAATAAATTGTCACGCACAACGAGTCTGTGTGCAAAATGTCAGCTCGATTGGATCACGGGAAGTGGGTTAAAAAACGACCGAAAGATTTGCACGGTCGTAAGCAAGCAAGCACGCAAGCAAGCAAGCGAACTTAATATAAAGGATTAAAAAAAATAACCAGTAAAAAACAAGTTTTTCACTCTAAATACTTTATATGCGTGGCGGCTAGAGTCCTCTCGTCCTCTGGCTTGAGATGGCTGCCACCTATGGGTCAGATGATTGCCTGCCAGCATTAAGCAATTGGTAATTAAATATTTTTAAAAAATTCCCTAAACAGTGTAAAATTTTGGAAATCTTTTTTTCACGAAAATAAATTGTCACGCACAACGAGTCTGTGTGCAAAAATGTCAGCTCGATTGGATCACGGGAAGTGGGTTAAAAAACGACCGAAAGATTTGCACGGTCGTAAGCGCAAGCAAGCAAGCAAGTGAACTTAATATAAAGGATTTTAAAATAATATCCAGGTGCCTACCTTGGCTCCTCCCACCCTCAACCAGTATATATACAAATACTGTGTTCTTGTAATTTCTCTCACTTGATACAGCCATCGTGCTGTGACTTCCACCTGAAGACGGAGGCTTGTGTTGCCTCCGAAACGTCGTGATTTTTTTTATTTAACTTTTATTAATTGTAACTTTTTTACCGACGTGACTTTAATAAAATAAATGTTATTTTATTTTTCTACCCACGTGACTTTACCGAAAAAACCAAAGAGTATGGATTCCTGCAGTCACGAAAGCTTCAAATCAAGATTGATTTACTTTGTTAGACCGGATGTGCCTGACTTTTCACGAAGTTCTCTTATCACGTTTACGATGCTGGGTGGATGGATGGGATGGCGAGGCGGGGTTGGATGCTGTGTGCTATGCATGGTAAAACACATTCCTGCGGAGGGAGCTGGTAGGAACGTTGGGTTGCTCGGTCAATGGCCTGCAGGGTCAACGGCGGCGTGGTGTATTCCGCAAATATGCCCGACTGTGAGGGCGGGCACAAGCCGGCGTGAGTAGGTTAAACGTTGAGTTTTATAAGGGCACCACGGGGTGACCAGCCCCTCCCCACCCAGCCCCACCCCTCCCACCCCCACCCAGCCCCTCCCCACCCTCCCCACCCAGCCCCTCCCCACCCAGCCCCTCCCCACCCCCCACCCAACCCCAACCCCCACCCAGCCCCTCTCCACCCTCCCCTCCCCACCCTCCCCACCCAGCCCCTCCCCACCCCCCACCCAGCCCCAACCCCCACCCAGCCCCTCTCCACCCTCCCCTCCCCACCCAGCCCCTCTCCACCCTCCCCTCCCCACCCTCCCCACCCAGCCCCTCCCCACCCTCCTCACGAAAGCTTAAAATCCAGATTGACCCAAAGAATACGAATCGGGATTGACCCCTAATCAGGTCACGGTGCCACGTGCCCGCGTGTCGTTTAAAGTCACCGGCGCGCGCGCCCCCAAGTCAACACTCCAACCCGGCTCGTACGGGCCGGTACATCGGAGGCTTTTGCACGGACGCATCTATTGGCCGTGCTTAGGGCTGCGTTGAACCCAACGTTTGGTCTTCACGGACGGACATTTGGGTGGACGTTTTACGTTTCCGCCCGTTTACAATCGCGGAAACGCTGTAACTACGTTGGGGGGGAGGGGGGGGGGTTTGCGTGGGAAATAATTAAAAAAACCCGCGTCCAGAACACACACAGAGACATACAGAGACACAGAGAGACACGGGGATATGGATTAGATGATGGACACGCACAGACAGAGAGACACACAGAGACGCGGATACAAAGAGACACGGAGAGAGACACGGAGATGGAGACACGGACAGATGGACATGTACGGATACGAAGGCACGGGTAGACACAAAGATCCCCCGTGTAGCCTTAACAGACTGTAGGGGCAACTGCTGTTAGCGAGTAGCACCTATGAAGGCCGGCACGGCACACGAGGGGGTGGGTGGCCAGCACCACGCCCGACCGCCTTTGTCTCCCCAGTGGCGATGTTTACACACCGCACCAGGTACTCATTTAAGGCTGAGTCGACCTAGTGGCGATGTTTACACACCGCACCAGGTAATCATTGCAGGCACACACACACACACGCGCGCGTAATATATTTTTGAAATGTTTATTTTTATTTATTCTCAGAAAATGTTCAACCCCCTTTTCGTGCGGACTCGATGTGACCACGCGAATGTTTTGTGGTGGCTTAGGGGGGAGGGGAGGGCAGGGACGACTTCCCTTGTTTCTGTTCCAAACGATGACTCATGAATTGCGTGTTGAGGTTTCGCTTCGGTTTCTTGTTAAACCTCTCAGAGTGGTTCTCTCTGCCTGCTGCCGCAGCTACAACCCACTCACACCCTTCTTCCTGTACTTGTGGACGTGTGTGTGAGTGCGTGTGCGCGTGTGTGGGTTGGTTGGCCAACGTTATCGATAAAAAAGCCAAATTTGGCTGAACATAATTTTGCAGAACTCTATTTAAAGTAAGAAATTGTTTTTCATGGACCGATTACACATCACGTGGGTTTTTCCAGGTGAAATATTTTTCCGAAATTAAAATAACTTTTTATTTTTTTTACTCATTGATTCCTCCCTAACCGCCCATGCTGAAGACTCGGTTCTACCCAGGCTCTGACTCTTTCTGTCTCGCCCATCATCATCGCCACTGTGTTCAGCCAGCAACAACACACGCACCAACTCGACTCACTGACTCAACCACTGACTCACCACACCGAGTACATAGAGGATTGCAGAACTTGGGGGAAAATGCAGCACCAGCTCACCACGCAGCTGCTGCTGCTGCTGCTGATGATGCTGCTGCTTCTGCTGCTGCTGCTGATGCAGCTGATGCTGTTGATGCTGCTGCTGATGCTGCTGCTGATGCTGCTGATGCTGCTGCTGATGCTGCTGATGCTGATGCTGCTGATGCTGCTGATGCTGATGCTGCTGATGCAGCTGATGCTGTTGATGCTGCTGCTGATGCTGCTGCTGATGCTGCTGATGCTGCTGATGCAGCTGATGCTGTTGATGCTGCTGCTGATGCTGTTGATGCTGCTGCTGATGCTGTTGATGCTGATGCTGCTGATGCTGCTGATGCTGCTTGCTGCTGATACTGCTGCTGCTGATACTGCTGCTGCTGATGCTGCTGCTGCTGATGCTGTTGATGCTGTTGATGCTGCTGCTGCTGAAGCTGCTGCTGATGCTGCTGCTGCTGATGCTGCTGCTGCTGATGCTGCTGCTGATGCTGATGCTGCTGATGCTGCTGCTGATGTTGCTGCTGCTCGTGTCTGTGGTTCCTCATCAGGCGTCGTAGTGACGAGATGTTAACTACCTCGCCCTGTGGCCGTGGGTTCGATCCCGACACCGATGCCTGCTGTATATTTGGAGTTTGCGTGTTCTCCCCGTGGTCGCGTGGATTTTTTTTTTTTCCCGGAGTTCACCGGTTTTTCCCTACTCCACATTTAGAATCAACATGCATTTAAGAGTGTTTCGCTGCGATACATTTCCACACGATGATAAGCAACAGCTCACCGCGCTAACGTTTGTGGCCAGGTCGCTTCTGAAAAAGAGCTGCATAGCCCTGTGGGCCTTGCCTGGTAGAATAAAAAAATATTGTTTTGGAAGTTTATATAATTACAGGACTTGCCCCAACAGGCCTGTGTGTGTTTGCGCATGCTACTCGGAGGAGACCTTTAATTTTTTTGGCGATACGTTTTGTTTCGATTTAAAGCTTTCGTGACTGCAGGGATTCATCTTCTTGGTTCTTTCGGTAAAGTCACGTAGAAGGGAAATAATAAAATAATAAAAATAAAACATGATAAAATTTCGATTTAAAGCTTTCGTGACTGCAGGGATTCACCTTCTTGGTTCTTTCGGTAAAGTCACGTAGAAGGGAAATAATAAAATAATAAAAATAAAACATAATAAAATAATTCTCACGACGTTTCGGCCACAACGCAAGCAGCCGTCCTCGGGTGAAGAACAGGTCTGTCGGGGAGACAGCGTCAAACGCTGTCTCCCCGACAGACCTGGTTATTTTATTACTTCCCTTCTACGTGACTTTACCGAAAGAACCAAGAAGGTGGATACGTTTTGTGTCGTTGCAGAAATGAAGCCCTTGCCAAGGCCACAAAACGTGACCTTGACTGGACGGAATTTCTTCTTCAAGCTCAAGTGGCAAGCTCCTGCCGACTGCGAGAACTGCACCTACGAGGCGCGGTGGCAACAGTAAGATTCCACCTCCACGGCGCCTCGCCAAAGACGAAGGCTGTTCGGCTTCGGTTCGGTTCCGCGCTGCCGGTTTACCCGATGAATGGCGAGAGAGCAAACGCTGTCACCGGTCAGGGTTTGCCGCGCGTACGCAAACGCGTGCGGTGGGGAGAAAACGAGTGCGGGTGCTTCCACCTCTCGCAAAGACGTCTTGGCGGGCGTGGAAGTGGGTCATCAGTTTGCCCTCCCGTAGTGGGGAGAGACCCTTCTGCTGACATGGATGGCAGATACGGTCAACCCTTGTTAAATCGACGCATATTGGTTCATCTGGCTTTTGTCGAATTATTCAATATTCCTAAATTATGTACAATCAGTGGTAATCCCCCAGTGCCTCCTGCCCCAATTAAAAAAAAAAATTCCAAACTTTTCACACAAAGATCCCCCGTGTAGCCTTAACAGACTGTAGGGGCAAGTGCTGTTAGCGAGCACCTATGAAGGCCGGAACGGTACACGAGGGGGTGGGTGGCCAGCACCACGCCCGACCGCCTTTGTCTCCCCAGTGGCGATGTTTACACGCCGCACCAGGTACTCATTTAAGGCTGAGTCGACCTCGGGGAGGCCCAGGACCGGTTCGGATAATCGTCACTGGTGTTGGCCGTGAGCGGTGAATCGAACCCGGGTCGCCAGGTTCATAGCGCGGTGTAGCGCTAACCGCTACACACTACACACCGTACGCATTGACACACACACAATCACACCTAGCCCGCATCAGTTCAATCCAAAACTTTGGATTTGTCCCGCTGACTTAAGCTTCTTTTTACGACCACTTGATGTCGGCGTAGATGACATTTCCCAGAGGGCTGGCTAGCACACAGTGCACACGTAGGGTAAAGTCCAAAACCACGCGCACCGCCGCCAGCCGGAGCCCATTGTTTTGGTCGTGACGTGCGCCGTCGTTCCTCGTGCGTGCCCAAATCGGACCCTCCGGTACGGCGAATTCGGCTCGTGGCGAATTGCTCGTGCACCGTTGCTACGCCGACAGCGCCCAAATTCCGAATGACCAAATTGCCGAAATGACGATTGCACGTCAAAGGCTTAATTCGCTCCGCTAGCATCGAAAGTTATCCCTTTTTCACCCGGAAAACGTACTTTAAAAATATTTAAACAATAGATATGAATACATAAAGATGCTAACGGCATTAGAAACACATAATATTAAAAGAAACGTGGTTAATCGGTGCATTAATTAATATTTACTGTGCCTACAAAAGCCCGTTGTTAACAGGGAAATGGTCGGTAAACAAACACATTGGGCTCTATGGAGGTACCACACTACTATACACTACACTATACACTACACTATACACTACACTATACACTACACTATACACTACACTATACACTACACTATACACTACACTACTATACACTACACTACTATACACTACACTATGCACTACACTACTATACACTACACTATACACTACACTATACACTACACTACTATACACTACACTATACACTACACTATACACTACACTATACACTACACTACTATACACTACACCACTGTACACTACACTATACACTACACTATACACTACACTACTATACACTACACTACTATACACTACACTACTATACACTACACTATACACTACACTATACACTACACTACTATACACTACACTACTATACACTACACTATACACTACACTATACACTACACTACTATACACTACACTACTATACACTACACTACTATACACTACACTACTATACACTACACTACTATACACTACACTATACGCTACAATATACACTACACTATACACTACACTATACACTACTCTACTATACACTACACTACTATGCACTACACTATACACTACACTATACACTACACTACTATACACAACTATACACTACTCGATACACTACACTACTATACACTACACTATAAACTACACTACTATACACTACACTATACACTACACTATACTCTACACTACACAACTATACACTACACTACTATACACTACACTATACACTACAATATACTCTACACTACACTACTATACACTACACTACTATACACTACTATACTATACACTACACTATACACTACACTACTATACACTACACTATACACTACACTACTATACACTACACTACTATACACTACACTACTATACACTACACTATACACTACAATATACACTACACTATACACTACACTATACACTACACTATACACTACTCTACTATACACTACACTACTATACACTACACTATACACTACATTATACACTACACTACTATACACAACTATACACTACACTATACACTACACTATACTCTACACTAAACTACTATACACTACTATACACTACACTATACACTACACTACTATACACTACACTATACTCTACACTACACTACTATACACTACACTATACACTACACTACTATACACTACACTATACTCTACACTACACTACTATACACTACACTATACACTACACTATACACTACACTATACTCTACACTACACTACTATACACTACTATACACTACACTATACACTACACTACTATACACTACACTATACTCTACACTACACTACTATACACTACACTATACACTACACTATACACTACACTATACTCTACACTACACTACTATACACTACTATACACTACACTATACACTACACTACGATACACTACACTATACTCTACACTACACTACTATACACTACACTATACACTACACTACTATACACTACACTATACTCTACACTACACTACTATACACTACACTATACTCTACACTACACTACTATACACTACACTATACACTACACTATACACTACACTACACTACTCTACACTACTATACACTACACTATACTCTACACTACTATACACTACACTACTATACACTACACTATACTCTACACTACACTACTATACACTACACTATACACTACACTATACTCTACACTACACTACTATACACTACACTATACTCTACACCAGAGGTGTGGACTCGAGTCATGTGACTTGGACTCGAGTCAGACTCGAGTCATGAATTTGATGACTTCAGACTCGACTTGGACTTGCATAACAATGACTTTGTCCCACCTCTGCTCTACACTACTATACACTACTATACACTACACTATACACTACACTATACTCTACACTACTATACACTACTATACACTACACTATACACTACACTACTATACACTACACTATACACTACACTGAAACTGCCGTTTTGCGTTACCGTCCACAGCTACGGCTCGAACTGTTGTAACACGGAGGACTGCAGTCCCGGTAACGTCGCCGGTGCAACAAGCTGCAACCTGTCCATCTCCCAGGACATGCTGGTGGACAAGATCATCGTTGATGTGCGCACCACGTCCACCCAGCTCGACAGCTCTTCCGCGTGGGTGCAAATACGTTGCCTGCCTAGGAACGTCGGTGAGTTAAACCTCGATTTAAAGCTTTCGTGACTGCAGGGATTCATCTTCTTGGTTCTTTCGGTAAAGTCGTCACGTAGAAGGGAAGTAATAAAATAAAAAAATAGAACATAATCAAATTTCGATTTAAAGCTTTCGTGACTGCAGGGATTCATCTTCTTGGTTCTTTCGGTAAAGTCGTCACGTAGAAGGGAAGTAATAAAATAAAAAAATAAAACATAATAAAATAATTCTCACAACGTTTCGGCCACAACGCAAGCAGCCATCCTCAGGTGAAGACCAGGTCTGTCGGGGACAGCTGCTTGCGTTGTGGCCGAAACGTCGTGAGAATTATTTTATTATGTTTTATTTTTATTATTTTATTACTTCCCTTCTACGTGACTTTACCGAAAGAACCAAGAAGATGAGTTAAACCTCGCGGCGACGTGACGATCTAGGCGCGTAGGGTCCCGATGCGCCATGGATAAGGCTTTGGGGGCAGGCCTGCGTCTTGAGGCGATCCGGCCGTAAGGTAATGCCGCCCCTCGATACGGATTAACGCGCCAGTTATTCACGCTTCGTTCGGCTCAGTATTGGACCGCGTTTTTCATCATCTCCCCCATCGGTCCTCCCCTCCCTCCCTCCCTCCCTTCCTTTTTTTCCTTTCCTTTCGATCATGGGCGCCATAGTAGCTAGGAGATGTGAACTACCTCGCCTGTTATAAAGGAGGTCGTAGGTTCAATCTCGACCCTGACGCCTGCTGTATATTTTGAGTTTGCGTCTCTCTCTCTGTCTCGCCATCATCTTCAAGGTGGCTAGGAGATGTTAACGACCTCGCCTGGTGTACAGGAGGTCGTGGGTTCGTATCCCGACGCTGACGCCTGCTGCTGTATATTTGGAGTTTGCGTGTCTCCCTCTCTCTCTCTCATCATCATCACGGTGGCTAGGAGATGTTAACTACCTCTTCTCCCCCCCCCCATCCCTCTCCTCCCCCCCACCCCTCCCCCCCCCACCCCTCCCCTCCTGCCACCAGTCGAGCTAGATGCTCCACGCGTGACCCTGTTCAAGGAGGGCGACAGTCTGCGTCTGGCCATCACTCCTCCCGAGTTGAGGCACCTGGACGGGGAGAATGTGGTCCTTGACACTTACAAGGCTGTCATCACCGCCGCCGGGGAGCAAAACCACAACGTGAGTCGTCGTCATGGTTATCGTCGTCATCGTGATTATCATCGTCATGGTTATCATCGTCGTCATGGTTATCATCGTCGTCGTCGTCGACGTGATTATCATCGTTGTCGTGATTATCATCGTCGTCGTCGTCATCGTCATGATTAATTTTGGAGCTTTCGTGACTGCAGGAATTATTCATTGGTTCTTTCGGTAAAGTCACGTATAAAGATAAAATAATAAATTAAATAATAGCATACGACGTTTCGATTGCAACACAAGCAATCATCATTATACCTGATGATGATTGCTTGTGTTGCAATCGAAACGTCGTATGCTATTATTTAATTTATTATTTTATCTTTCTACGTGACTTTACCGAAAGAACCAAAGAATCGTCATGATTCTTCTTGGTTCTTTCGGTAAAGTCACGTAGAAGGGAAGTAATAAAATAATAAAAATAAAACATAATAAATAATTCTCACGATGTTTCGGCCACAACGCAAGCAGCCGTCCTCAGGTCCGTCGAGGCGACCAAGAAGATGAATCCCTGCAGTCACGAAAGCTTTAAATCGAAATTTTGGTCTGCGAGTGTTTTGCAAGCCGAGCAAAATTTGTAACTAAATATTTCACAGGTGTTGTCCATCATATCCACTTGTAGATATTATGGGCTCGGCGGGCCGTCACCATCTCGCGCGGGCACAAAAGTGACGATCCAACCGTGCGCGCGGACACTAAACTAAACTACGAAGCTCTTCTATTCTTGGTTCTTTCGGGTAAAGTCACGTAGAAGGGAAATAATAAAATTATAAAAATAAAACGTAATAAGATAAAATTCTCACGGCGTTTCGGCCGCAACGCAAGCAGCCGTCCTCAGGTGAAGAACAGGGCTGTCGGAAAGACAGCGTCCTAATGAACACCGCCAGGCTTGGCAGCGTATATTTAAGCTGGGTGGGAGGAGGAGAGCGCCTTGACAAAGGAGTTTACATATCAACAGAATAATTTAGGACGCTGTCTTTCCGACAGCTCTGTTCTGAATTGGTATTATTGTTTTATTTTTATTATTTTATCACTTCCCCTCCACGCGACTTTACCGAAAGAACCAAGAACATGGATCCCCGCAGTCACGAAAGCTTCAAATCGAAATTCATACCCTCAGTACCAATCATGATTATGATTCCGTTTACACAGAATCAGAACTTCGATTTGAAGCTTTCATGACTGCGAGGATTCATGTTCTTGGTTCTTTCGGTGGAGTCGCGTGGAGGGGAAGTGATAAAATAATAAAAATACAACAACAATACAAATTCACGACGTTTCGGCCACAACGCAAGCAGCCGTCCTCAGGTGAAGAACAGGTCTGTCGGGGAGACAGCGTCTGAATGAAACACCACCAGGCTTGGCAGCATATATTTAATCTGGGTTAGAGGGGGAAGAGCACCCGGCACGCCAGTGGCTCCGGGGGGAGCATCTCTTCGCCCGCCCCGACGGGTGGCGAGGAGGTGACCCGGGAACCCGATGGGAGTGTGCTGCCCGGGCTTGGGACGGAGCCCAGTGAGACCCTGGCTCCACATGGGGCTTGGGTCTGAGCCCAGTGAGACCCTGGCTCCACATGGGGCTTGGGACGGAGCCCAGTGGGACCCTGGCTCCACATGGGGCTTGGGACGGAGCCCAGTGGGACCCTGGCTCCACATGGGGCTTGGGACCGAGCCCAGTGAGACCCTGGCTCCACATGGGGCTTGGGACCGAGCACAGTGGGACCCTGGCTCCACATGGGGCTTGGGACCGAGCTCAGTGGGACCCTGGCTCCACATGGGGCTTGGGACCGAGCTCAGTGGGACCCTGGCTCCACATGGGGCTTGGGACCGAGCTCAGTGGGACCCTGGCTCCACATGGGGCTTGGGACCGAGCTCAGTGGGACCCTGGCTCCACATGGGGCTTGGGACCGAGCTCAGTGGGACCCTGGCTCCACATGGGGCTTGGGACCGAGCTCAGTGGGACCCTGGCTCCACATGGGGCTTGGGACCGAGCTCAGTGGGACCCTGGCTCCACATGGGGCTTGGGACCGAGCTCAGTGGGACCCTGGCTCCACATGGGGCTTGGGACCGAGCTCAGTGAGACCCTGGCTCCACATGGGGCTTGGGACCGAGCCCAGTGGGACCCTGGCTCCACATGGGGCTTGGGACCGAGCCCAGTGAGACCCTGGCTCCACATGGGGCTTGGGACCGAGCCCAGTGAGACCCTGGCTCCACATGGGGCTTGGGACCGAGCTCAGTGGGACCCTGGCTCCACATGGGGCTTGGGACCGAGCCCATTGAGACCCTGGCTCCACATGGGGCTTGGGACCGAGCTCAGTGGGACCCTGGCTCCACAGATGGGGGGGGGGGCGGCGAAGGTGGCAGAGGAGACCTGCGCCGACGTGACAATCGACTCTGATGCTGGGGCATCAGAGTTGGACCCGGTGAGCGGAGCCAGCAACGTCGACCCAGGAGGGCCGAAGGGGGAGGCCGGGGCGATGGTTTCCGTCGCCCTCAGCTGGGCGCGCACGCTCGAAAGACTCCGTAACTTCCTGAAGTGGTCGTTTTGAATGACGCAAGGTCCGGGCGCAAGACACTTTTCCCCGACATGGAGGGCTTTTATTTCGATGTAAAGCTTTCGTGACTGCGGGGATTCATCTTCTTGGTTCTTTCGGTAAAGTCACGTAGAAGGGAAGTAATAAAATAATAAAAAATATCGACAGACCTGTTCTTCACCCGAGGATGGCTGCTTGCGTTGTGGCCGAAACGTCGTGAGAATTACTTTATGTTTTATTTGTATTATTTTATTACTTCCATTCTACGTGACTTTACCGAAAGAACCAAGAAGAGGGAGGGCTTTCATGAAGGCGGCCCCGGCTGGCGGTCCAGGACCCGCACAAAGCACGGGTTCAAACCGCCAGGAGATTTACCGGCTGAAAGCGATGATGGGAAAGGTTAAGAAACAACCGACCCCCTCCCCGTAGCGCTGACGGCGTCATCGCCATCACCACCGCCACTTGGCGGTGGCGAGGCCGCGCGGACTGGCCGATGCGTGGCTCCGAGGAGAGCACGCTTGAGGGGTTGACTGTGGAGGGTGGCGCGCGTAACGACGCGGTGCGGCGCGCGTGCCGGTGGTTTGTTTTCCTGCTCGCATGTTGGAAATGACTCAAGCGCAATCGCTGCTGGAGGAATAAAGTTGTCTTAAAAGTCAAAATCTCTCTCGCTCTCTCTTTCTCTCGCTCTCTCGCTCGCTCGCTCCATCTCTCTCGCTCTCTCTTTCTCTCGCTCTATCTCTCGCTCACTCTCTCTTTCTCTTGCTCGCTCGCTCTCTCTCTCGCTCTCTCGCTCGCTCGCTCTCTCGCTCGCTCCCTCTCTCTCGCTCTCTCTTTCTCTCGCTCGCTCTCTCACTCGCTCTCCCTCTCGCTCGCTCTCTCGCTCGCTCTCTCTCTCGCTCGCTCTCTCTCTCGCTCGCTCTCTCTCTCACACTCGCTCTCTCGCTCGCTCTCTCTCTCGCTCGCTCTCTCTCTCGCTCGCTCTCTCTCTCTCGCTCGCTCTCTCTCTCACACTCGCTCTCTGGCTCTCTGCACTTTCAGGAGGAAGTGGAATTCCAAGGGAGCGAGTTTACGTTCCCCGTGAACGGCAGCATATTCTGGACGCTGAGCAAGCCGAGGCTGTGCGTGAGGGTGCATGCGGTGGTCACCATCGGGTCGTGGGAGAAGGAGACAGGGAGATCCACGGAGGAGTGCGTGCAGTTCAGCCGGGAAGGTGGGGACGAGCGACGTGCTGATGTCCTTGAAACAATCTCTCATAGCTTTCGATTTAAAGCTTTCGTCACTGCAGGGATTCGTATTCTTGGTTCTTTCGGTAAAGTCACGTAGAAGGGAAATAATAAAATAATAAAAATAAAACATGATAAAATTCTCTACGACGTTTTGATTGCAACACAAGCAATCATCATTTATTATGTTTCGATTTAAAGCTTTCGTGACTGCAGGGATACATATTATTGGTTCTTTCGGTAAAGTCACGTAGAAGGGAAATAATAAAATAATACAAATTGTGTTGCGGTCGAAATGTCGTGAGAATTTTTATTGTTTTATTATTTCCCTTCTACGTGACTTTACCGAAAGAACCAAGAATATTATCTCATAGCTGTCAACCCATCACGGTTTACCCCGTATTCTTGCCCAGGGGAATAGAGTGTTCAGGTCCCTGCGGCTTACAGCCGTTTCAATACGGGCACACATTTTTATTTTGTCCATGTGTTTGTGTTTCTCACCTTGTGATGGTGACTTTGTAGGATGAACGTTGAGATGTATAAAGGGGCACGGGGCGACCAATTCGGTCTGAGTTGGTCTGTAATAAGGTAGGGGGCACTGATCAGGGGTTGACAGGTTTGTAGTGGTGAGTGTATTAGTGGTGAGTGTCGTAGTGGTGAGTGTCGTAGTGGTGAGTGTAGTGGTGAGTGTACTAGTGGTGAGTGTCGTAGTGGTGAGTGTAGTGGTGAGTGTACTAGTGGTGAGTGTCGTAGTGGTGAGTGTACTAGTGGTGAGTGTACTAGTGGTGAGTGTAGTAGTGGTGAGTGTAGTAGTGGTGAGTGTACTAGTGGTGAGTGTACTAGTGGTGAGTGTACTAGTGGTGAGTGTCGTAGTGGTGAGTGTATTAGTGGTGAGTGTATTAGTGGTGAGTGTACTAGTGGTGAGTGTAGTAGTGGTGAGTGTACTAGTGGTGAGTGTCGTAGTGGTAAGTGTACTAGTGGTGAGTGTATTAGTGTCGTGGTGAGTGTACTAGTGATGAGTGTACCAGTGGTGAGTGTATTAGTGGTGAGTGTAGTAGTGGTGATTGTATTAGTGTCGTGGTGAGTGTACTAGTGGTGAGTGTCGTAGTGGTGAGTGTACCAGTGGTGAGTGTAGTAGTGATGAGTGTAGTAGTGGTGATTGTATTAGTGTCGTGGTGAGTGTACTAGTGATGAGTGTACCAGTGGTGAGTGTATTAGTGGTGAGTGTAGTAGTGGTGATTGTATTAGTGTCGTGGTGAGTGTACTAGTGGTGAGTGTCGTAGTGGTGAGTGTACTAGTGGTGAGTGTCGTAGTGGTAAGTGTACTAGTGGTGAGTGTATTAGTGTCGTGGTGAGTGTACTAGTGATGAGTGTACCAGTGGTGAGTGTATTAGTGGTGAGTGTAGTAGTGGTGATTGTATTAGTGTCGTGGTGAGTGTACTAGTGATGAGTGTAGTAGTGGTGAGTGTACCAGTGGTGAGTGTAGTAGTGATGAGTGTAGTAGTGGTGATTGTATTAGTGTCGTGGTGAGTGTACTAGTGGTGAGTGTCGTAGTGGTGAGTGTACTAGTGGTGAGTGTACTAGTGGTGATTGTATTAGTGTAGTGGTGAGTGTACTAGTGGTGAGTGTACTAGTGGTGAGTGTACTAGTGGTGAGTGTACTAGTGGTGAGTGTACTAGTGGTGATTGTATTAGTGTAGTGGTGATTGTATTAGTGTAGTGGTGAGTGTACTAGTGGTGAGTGTAGTAGTGGTGAGTGTACTAGTGGTGAGTGTACTAGTGGTGAGTGTACTAGTGGTGAGTGTACTAGTGGTGAGTGTACTAGTGGTGAGTGTACTAGTGGTGAGTGTATTAGTGTAGTGGTGATTTATTAGTGTAGTGGTGAGTGTACTAGTGGTGAGTGTACTAGTGGTGAGTGTACTAGTGGTGAGTGTACTAGTGGTGAGTGAGTGTACTAGTGGTGAGTGAGTGTACTAGTGGTGAGTGAGTGTACTAGTGGTGAGTGAGTGTACTAGTGGTGAGTGAGTGTACTAGTGGTGAGTGTACTAGTGGTGAGTGTACTAGTGGTGAGTGTGGTGGTGAGTGTACTAGTGGTGAGTGTAGTGGTGAGTGTACTAGTGGTGAGTGTACTAGTGGTGAGTGTACTAGTGGTGAGTGTACTAGTGGTGAGTGTACTAGTGGTGAGTGTACTAGTGGTGAGTGTACTAGTGGTGAGTGTACTAGTGGTGAGTGTACTAGTGGTGAGTGTGGTGGTGAGTGTACTAGTGGTGAGTGTACTAGTGGTGAGTGTGGTGGTGAGTGTACTAGTGGTGAGTGTACTAGTGGTGAGTGTAGTGGTGGTGAGTGTACTAGTGGTGAGTGTACTAGTGGTGAGTGTACTAGTGGTGAGTGTAGTAGTGGTGAGTGTAGTAGTGGTGAGTGTAGTGGGGTGAGTGTAGTGGTGAGTGTAGTGGTGGTGAGTGTACTAGTGGTGAGTGTACTAGTGGTGAGTGTACTAGTGGTGAGTGTACTAGTGGTGAGTGTACTAGTGGTGAGTGTACTAGTGGTGAGTGTACTAGTGGTGAGTGTACTAGTGGTGAGTGAGTGTACTAGTGGTGAGTGAGTGTACTAGTGGTGAGTGAGTGTACTAGTGGTGAGTGAGTGTACTAGTGGTGAGTGAGTGTACTAGTGGTGAGTGTACTAGTGGTGAGTGTGGTGGTGAGTGTACTAGTGGTGAGTGTACTAGTGGTGAGTGAGTGTGCTAGTGGTGAGTGTACTAGTGGTGAGTGAGTGTACTAGTAGTGAGTGTACTAGTGGTGAGTGTAGTAGTGGTGTGTAGTAGTGGTGATTGTATTAGTGTCGTGGTGAGTGTACTAGTGATGAGTGTAGTAGTGGTGAGTGTACTAGTGGTGAGTGTGCTAGTGGTGAGTGTACTAGTGGTGAGTGTGCTAGTGGTGAGTGTACTAGTGGTGAGTGTACTAGTGGTGAGTGTAGTAGTGATGAGTGTAGTAGTGGTGAGTGTAGTAGTGGTGATTGTATTAGTGTCGTGGTGAGTGTACTAGTGATGAGTGTAGTAGTGGTGAGTGTAGTAGTGGTGAGTGTAGTAGTGATGAGTGTAGTAGTGGTGATTGTATTAGTGTCGTGGTGAGTGTACTAGTGGTGAGTGTCGTAGTGGTGAGTGTACTAGTGGTGAGTGTACTAGTGGTGATTGTATTAGTGTAGTGGTGAGTGTACTAGTGGTGAGCGTACTAGTGGTGAGTGTACTAGTGGTGATTGTATTAGTGTAGTGGTGATTGTATTAGTGTAGTGGTGAGTGTACTAGTGGTGAGTGTACTAGTGGTGAGTGTACTAGTGGTGAGTGTACTAGTGGTGAGTGTACTAGTGGTGAGTGTACTAGTGGTGAGTGTACTAGTGGTGAGTGTACTAGTGGTGAGTGTATTAGTGTAGTGGTGATTTATTAGTGTAGTGGTGAGTGTACTAGTGGTGAGTGTACTAGTGGTGAGTGTACTAGTGGTGAGTGAGTGTACTAGTGGTGAGTGAGTGTACTAGTGGTGAGTGAGTGTACTAGTGGTGAGTGAGTGTACTAGTGGTGAGTGAGTGTACTAGTGGTGAGTGAGTGTACTAGTGGTGAGTGAGTGTACTAGTGGTGAGTGAGTGTACTAGTGGTGAGTGTACTAGTGGTGAGTGTACTAGTGGTGAGTGTGGTGGTGAGTGTACTAGTGGTGAGTGTACTAGTGGTGAGTGTAGTGGTGAGTGTACTAGTGGTGAGTGTACTAGTGGTGAGTGTACTAGTGGTGAGTGTGGTGGTGAGTGTACTAGTGGTGAGTGTACTAGTGGTGAGTGTACTAGTGGTGAGTGTACTAGTGGTGAGTGTACTGGTGGTGAGTGTGGTGGTGAGTGTACTAGTGGTGAGTGTGGTGGTGAGTGTACTAGTGGTGAGTGTACTAGTGGTGAGTGTAGTGGTGGTGAGTGTACTAGTGGTGAGTGTACTAGTGGTGAGTGTACTAGTGGTGAGTGTAGTAGTGGTGAGTGTAGTAGTGGTGAGTGTAGTGGTGGTGAGTGTACTAGTGGTGAGTGTAGTGGTGGTGAGTGTACTAGTGGTGAGTGTACTAGTGGTGAGTGTACTAGTGGTGAGTGTAGTGGTGGTGAGTGTACTAGTGGTGAGTGTACTAGTGGTGAGTGTACTAGTGGTGAGTGTACTAGTGGTGAGTGTACTAGTGGTGAGTGAGTGTACTAGTGGTGAGTGAGTGTACTAGTGGTGAGTGAGTGTACTAGTGGTGAGTGAGTGTACTAGTGGTGAGTGAGTGTACTAGTGGTGAGTGAGTGTACTAGTGGTGAGTGAGTGTACTAGTGGTGAGTGTACTAGTGGTGAGTGTACTAGTGGTGAGTGTGGTGGTGAGTGTACTAGTGGTGAGTGTACTAGTGGTGAGTGAGTGTGCTAGTGGTGAGTGTACTAGTGGTGAGTGTACTAGTGGTGAGTGTAGTAGTGGTGTGTAGTAGTGGTGATTGTATTAGTGTCGTGGTGAGTGTACTAGTGATGAGTGTAGTAGTGGTGAGTGTACTAGTGGTGAGTGTGCTAGTGGTGAGTGTACTAGTGGTGAGTGTACTAGTGGTGAGTGTAGTAGTGATGAGTGTAGTAGTGGTGAGTGTAGTAGTGGTGATTGTATTAGTGTCGTGGTGAGTGTACTAGTGATGAGTGTAGTAGTGGTGAGTGTAGTAGTGGTGAGTGTAGTAGTGGTGAGTGTAGTAGTGATGAGTGTAGTAGTGGTGAGTGTAGTAGTGGGGATTGTATTAGTGTCGTGGTGAGTGTACCAGTGGTGAGTGTAGTAGTGATGAGTGTAGTAGTGGTGAGTGTAGTAGTGGTGAGTGTAGTAGTGGGGATTGTATTAGTGTCGTGGTGAGTGTACTAGTGATGAGTGTAGTAGTGGTGAGTGTACCAGTGGTGAGTGTAGTAGTGATGAGTGTAGTAGTGGTGAGTGTACCAGTGGTGAGTGTACTAGTGATGAGTGTAGTAGTGGTGAGTGTACCAGTGGTGAGTGTAGTAGTGATGAGTGTAGTAGTGGTGATTGTATTAGTGTAGTGGTGAGTGTACCAGTGGTGAGTGTAGTAGTGATGAGTGTAGTAGTGGTGAGTGTATTAGTGTCGTGGTGAGTGTAGTAGTGGTGATTGTCTATTTATCTGTGTCTCTCCCTTGTGATGGTGACTCTGTAGGATGAACGTTGAGATTTCTAAGGGGCACGGGGGTGACCGATACGGTCTGCATTGACCTGTAATAATGTAGCCAGTGATAAGTGGTTGACAGGTTTGCAATCTCTCTAACTTGTGCCGGCCTTCACAGGTGCCACCCGCCACTAACAGCACTTGCCAAAACGGTCCGTTAAGGGGCTACGCAGTTGAGCGAGAGTCACATTCTCGTCTGTTTTGTGTCTCCGCGCAGAGCTGAACACGCTTCTGCTGGTGCAGCTGCTGCTGCTGTTGATCTTCATTATGCTGGTGACGGCCGTTGGCTACTACTTCACAATGCAGTACTTACACGTCGCCAATGACCGCCTGCCCTTCGTGCTGGTGAGAGCGTCGGCACTGCCACCGATGTCGTCGTCGCCAGTGACGGAACCTCACAATCTGCGGTGACCTCTACCCAGGGGCGGTTTCTTCATTAGGGCGATTGGGCGACGCACCACCAATGTCATTCAACCACAGAGTTACGCTAGCCGTCACTGTGCCTCTGGATATAGTCCAATCAGCGTCATGTCACGTTCTGTGGAGTACCGCCTCTTTTTGGGCGATTTCACTCTGGCTGAGAATCGCCCCGAGTGTTCCCATAGACTTACATTCAAAGATGTTTTTTTTCGAACGGCGGGCGCTGCAATGCATTCTCTGTGGCTTCCGGGAGGGCTCGCACTAACGTGCTTACGTCATCATACGTAAGCACGTTTCAGTCAACAATATTATTTGTCGCCACCTAGTGGAATCTTTAATAAAATAAACTGAGTGGATTGTAATAATAGTGAGTATAGAAACAAACAAGATGTATTGTAAGAGTCACTTTATTTTTAATTAATATTAAAGAAGTGAAGTTGCCTTTACATGCTTAAGCTGTTAATTTATCCATTGCATGGGTGGACCTTATCCTTATCAATAATCCAGACATTTGCCCCCCGAGAGATTTTGCAGGAGCCGCCACTGCCTCTACCTTATCACAGACCAATTGAGACCGTATCGGTCACCCCCGTGCCCCTTGTGAATCTCAACGTTCATCCTGCAATCTCACCGTCACAAGGGAGAAACACAAACAAGTCGACACAAAAAAATGTGTTTTGCCCGAATTGAAACAGCTGTACACCGCGTGTAGCCGAAAACTCAATTTGCCCTGGACAAGAATCGGGGGTAAAAAAAAACCGCGATGGGTTGACAGCATTGGGACTGGGACTAAACAAATCGGCGTCCCGTCAGTTTTATTAAACGCGCTGGCACCAACAAAATAATTGGGGCTGTTGGAGGCGGCTAAGATGTCGCGACGTGATGACGATGACGACGACGACGGCGGGGGGGTGATGTTGTCGTGCAATATCGTTTGTGGGGGGGGTGTGGGGGTGTGGGGGGGGGTCCCCGTTTGGGCCGGGGGACAAAGTGAAAACAAGGAATGGGGTCGCCAGCCAGGAAGAATATTTGGGGCTACCGAATATATGAAGCAAGTGAGAGGGTAATTGGGCAATGAAGCGTACACACACTTATAGATGGAATGAAATATTTTTATCTGAAAAAAAATTATCTTTACTCTGATCACATCTGCAATTTGGCCACACAGACTTGCAATACGTTTCTCTAATCGTAATGTTCAGTTGAGTTAAATGTAAAATTCCTAATTAAGTAATATATTGTAAAAAAAATAATTATTTGTTGACTTTTTTCATTGCCGTATCTATCGCATTTAGAATTTTTCACGCGGCCTGTTGCAAACGTTGTGTTTTTAGTTTCGCAGTTTTTTTGTTGTTGATGAAACCCCATTGAAGAGCTTCTTAGCTCACAGGGCAATTCTAAATAAACTGTTCAAACTGTTCAGAACCGGGCCCACCGGCTCTCGGAATGGGCCGGCCCAGTGGACATTTGCCCAACGCACTGCTACCAGATGGTCGTAGTCCGAGCCTGGCCATCACCGCCACCGCCAAAAGGCCCCGTAGATTTGTGTCGAGGGTGCGGAGTCTCATGCCCAAGGGCCTGGAGGCTCATCGAGAGAGAGAGGGCCACAGGCTTGTACAGAGACTCACAGGGATGCAGAGATCCATAGACACCCATGGACTCGCACACAGACCCATAGACTCGTACAGAGACTCATAGACTCGCACAGAAACCCGTAGACCTGCACAGGGACCCATAGACTCACCCAGAGACCCATCGACTCATACCGAGCCTCTTGGGCTCGTACAAAGACTCATAGACTCGCATAGATACCCATATGCTCGTACGGAGACCTATGGACTCGTACAGAGAGCAATAGACTCACACACAGACCCATAGAATCACACAGAAACCCATAGACTTGCACACAGACCCATAGAATCACACAGAAACCCATAGACTCACATAGACCCATAGACTCGCACAAAAAAACCAAAGACTCGCACATAGACTCGTATAAAAACCCATAGACCCGTACAGAGAACCAGACTCGTACAGAGGCCAATATATTCACGCAGAAACCCATAGACTCACACGCAGGTCCATAGACTCGTACAGAGACTCACTCACATGCAGACCCATAGATTCACACAGAGACCCATAAACTCACACACAGATCCATAGACTCGTACAGAGACCCATAGACTCACACAGAAACCCATAGACTCACACGCAGACCCATAGACTCGTACAGAGACTCGTAGACTTGGCCACCCACCCCGTCGTGTGCCGTGGCGACCTTCACAGGTGCTACTCGCCAACAGCACTTGACCCAACGCTCCGTTGAAGGCTACGCGTGGGGGCGGGGATCTTTGTCTGCGTTCCCTTCTCAGGCCGACCTCCTGCCGGACGAGGGCAGCGACAAACACCCGGCGCCGGAATCCCACCACGGGCCCCCGGCGGCCCGGCCCTGCCACGAGCCCGACTCGCACCCCGTCTCCGTCGTGGCGGTCGTCGACTGCCCCCGCAGCGGCTACGACCGCGTCGCGATCCGCGCCGTGGCCCACGACGGCTCGCCCTCCGAGGGGTTCCCTGCGCAGCGGCGTCGCCGCCCTCCTACTCCTCCGGCGGTAGCGACGGAAGGGCGGGAGAGATGGTGGCAGGAGGAGGTGGACGACGAGGTGGACGAGGAGGAGAGACTCCCGGCGAGCCAGGCCCCGTCGTTGGACGAGGTCCCGCTCGGAGGCTTCGGCGCCGGCGCCACACTCGTCGCGGACGCCGAAGGGCACCGGCTGGCGGACGCCGCTTACTCGGGCGTCGCCATGCCGCTGTTGGAGGTCGCGGGGGGTGGCGGCAGCAGCAGCAGCAGCGGCAACAGCGAGCGCCTCTACAGGGGGAGCGACGCGGACGCTGATGACGACGACGACTGCCCCGGCGTCTCGCTCATGAGCCGGCTGGCGGCGCCCGGCGACTACGGCATCGACGCCGGGTGGCTGCTGGGGGAGGCGGCGGCGGGCGGCGAGTGGCAGCCCGTGGCGCTGCAGCTGAGCGACATCTCGTCGCTCTTCGCTCCCGCGTGAAAGGCGGCGTGAAAGGCGGCGGGCGCGGCGGGGAAAACTGCTCGCCTGCGATTTGTACTGGACGAGGATGATGGGGTGGGTGGTGGTTGGGGGGGGTAGGGGGGGGGAGATTTGCACTTTTAGGGGGGCTCGCTTTGGCACCGCCCCCTCTTCTCGGCTGTTCTGCTGCTGCGGCCGAGTGATGGGGCCCCCCTCCCGCCACCCCCCCGCCCCCTCCCTTTACCCCCCCGCCCCCCCCCCCACCTCGCCCACCAGTGGCAGCTGTCCCTACGCAGGCCTGGCCTGCTAAACGGTTAGAGGGCTTCGTTTGGCCGTCGTCCCCCGCAAGTCGGATAACAACTGCCAGCAACGCGAGTGGGTCACACGAGGAAAAATGGATAGTATCATCGTCGTCGTCGTCATCATCGTCGTCGTCATCGTCATCATCGTCGTCGTCGTCATCGTCATCATCGTCGTCGTCATTGTCATCATCGTCGTCGTCATTGTCATCATCGTCGTCGTCATTGTCATCATCGTCGTCATCATCGTCATCGTCATCATCGTCATCATCATCGTCATCGTCATCATCGTCGTCGTCATCATCATCGTCAGCCACGGTCAATCCGCTGTTGGACGAAGGCATCCCTACGTGACTTTACCGAGAAAAAAAACCTAAGAGTACAAATCCTTTGCAGTCACGAAAGCTTCAAGTCTAAAAGTGTGAAGAGTTACGGTTGTTTTACCGCACCTCGCCCACGCCGGCCCCTTCGCGTTCCAGGCTGCGAGGGAAGCGTCGACGCCGGGAGCATAGAAGCGCGCTGCGGCACAGTACAACGATGTGATTTTACCCCGCGCTACCCCCTCTTCCACGCAGGAGCCACTGGGCCACGACGACTCAAGTTGTGCAAGTGGCCGGGTCGCCTCTATGCAGGCTCCTCAAGCCGCCCATCAAGCAAGAGGTCGCAAACGGGTTTTGATTCCTTACCCGTACCTGGCCGCACCAGGGTCGCAAACGGGTACCCGATACCCGGCTACCCGTACCCGGCCGTACCCGTACCCTACCCGTACCCAGCCGCGGTACGGGTAGGGTACGGGTATCGGGTACCCGATTGCGACCTCTGGGATGAAGCCACGTTGCAGGCGCGGGTGGGTTGATTCTAGGAACTTGAATTGTGAGAAGAGACAAGACGTTGGGAAATGAGTGACAATCACGGTGACTCACCAGTGACTCACGGCCTACCCGTACCCATACTCGGCCGCACCAGGGTCGCAAACGGCTACCCGTACCCGGCCGGGTACAGGTAGCCGGGTATCGGGTAGGGTACGGGTATCGGGTACCCGGTTGCGACCTCTGCCCGTCAAGTTTCTGAGCCCTTGCCACGAACTCGGGGGGGGGGAGATTGGGTCGGAGTTTGACACTTTATTGACGCCGGTGAGAACTGGGAAGCGATCATCCCGGGACGATGCCGTTGGCAACAAATGTTTATTTATTGAGCGCCTTCGCCGCGGCGGCGGAGGCGGCGGCTGTGTTTTGCATTTCGTACAAATAAAGCACGGGCTACTTGGGGCTTTCTGGCGGATACGATTCTGTGCGAGTCTCGTGATGTCGACAGCTCGCATCAAAGCGTTCATACCCTGAGGTATGAATGGTTTGGTGTGAGGGAGTTGGGGGTGAGGGGGGTGAGGGGGGGTGTCGTTTGCTCGTCAGTACGGGAATTACATTGAGAGACGGAGCACGTGGGAGAGAGACAGAGAGATACAGGGATACACAGACATACAGAGACACAGAAAGACAGAGACAGAAAGACATACGAGAGAGACAGGGATACACAGACATACAGAGACACAGAGAGATACACAGAGACAGATACAGAGAGAAATACAGAGAGACACAGAAAGACAGAAACACAGAGACAGAAAGACACGGATGAACAGAGACATACAGAGACATACAGAGATAGACACACAGAGACAGAAAGACACAGAGACAGAGAGAGACAGGAAGACGGGGATACACAGAGACAGAGACATACACAGAGATACAGAGAGACACATTGAGATACAGAGACACACAGATACACAGAGACACACAGAGATACAGAGAGACACGCAGAGACACACAGAGATACAGAGAGACACACAGAGAGATACAGAGAGACACACAGAGAGATACAGAGAGACACACAGAGAGATACAGAGAGACACACAGAGAGATACAGAGAGACACACAGAGAGATACAGAGAGAAACACAGAGAGATACAGAGAGACACACAGAGAGATACAGAGAGACCACACCAGAGAGATACAGAGAGACACACAGAGAGATACAGAGAGACACACAGAGATACAGAGAGACACACAGAGAGATACAGAGAGACACACAGAGAGATACAGGAGAAGACAGAGAGATCGAGGACACAGA